CTCTCTCTCTCTCTCTCTCTCTCTCTCTCTCTCTCTCTCTCTCTCTCTCCTCTTTATCGAATCGTGAATTTTGTAACGGAAAATAATAGAATAATCGTCGCCATGATCTATTCTTTGTTCTCGCGGTGGATCTCGAATGATCGTTATTTCCGATATTTCGATCGTGAACAGATTTTAATTGCGGCGTTGAAAGATAAAGAGGAAAGATAATTTCAATGGTTTTCGATTTCTAAAGGAATCGATAATTAAGAGCAAAGCAAAGAAGTCGAATGGTTTGTGAAGATGTCAAATCTTTGCTTCTTCTCCTTTTGATAATTTTCTTGTATATAAATATTCGTTACAAGAAAATAATAAGGCACGAATAAAAAAGGGAATAATTAACGTATTAATTAAGAAAGTTATTTTTCCTCGAATGGTTGTAAAATAATTGATCTTCATTCAAGAAAACTTTAATTGTTAAAATAATTAAAAATAAAAAGCAGTTTCTATTAGTAAAAATATTGAATTATTTGTAAAACATGGAAGGAGATAATAATAATATAATATATAATAGTATAAAAATAAATAATAGATATCAGAATGTTAATACTAATTGAATTTTAAATAAAATGAAAAATATAAAGGCAACATTTACATCATTGCAAGAGAGTTGTTATTTATTAATATTTTTTTGATTACTCGACATATTTTAATTTTCAACAGAAAATTTTTGTATACACATCTAATTTTTATTTTTATATATTAATGAAATGTATTAAATTGAAAATACTTTTTTAAATAAAATTAGAAGCTTAAATTATATCTCTGAATTAAAAATATTTTATATTTCCACTTTTAAAATCCTGAAATAAAATATTTTAATTTAATGATGTATTAATTTGCTGTGATTTTTTCATGGTTGTCAAAAAGCTTAAAAATTACTAAGAAAAAAACTAAAAAGTAAAGATAAAGGAATTCCGCACATCTCATATATAAAACTCTATAAGTTAATAAGTCTTTTAAATTGCAAATGTACAATTATTTAAATTGACGTTTATGTGTTGTTTGATGTATCTTCTGCAACTAATTGTGTAACATAATTTGTTTGTACAAACAAATAAAACAGGTGTTCGAAATTTTCAATAAGTTTCTTCATTAATATTCAATGCTGTAAATGTTAAGTCTCAATTTGACTTAAGTCTTAACTTAATATATATATTATTTATTTAAAGAAGAATAAATAAGTGAAAGTAAAATAACTTAGAACACAGTATATTTCTATAATATCTAGAATATAATTTTATGTATTTTAAAGAGGTGGACACTAATGAGGTGAAAAATTAATTGATCAAAATTTAAAATAAAGTTAAAACAATAAGATTATTTAAAATGCTTGAATATTCGTAGCTGCTATATGTTTTTTATTATAACAATTGATTCAATGCTTTGAATAATAAATTATTATGTGAATTATTTATTGAAGTAACTTTATTCTTAAATTCAACAGTTAAATTAATTTAAAATTTAAATTTTTGCCCATTATTGATTAAAAATTTAAGGCGTTATTATTATATCCAGTGTTCAAAATTATTTGCCCAATATAGTAATTGGCTCATAGATTTGTTTTGTTATTTTGATATTTGGAATTTCTTAAACATTTTATATATAAAAAATATTTATTAATAGAAAAGATAATAAATAAATCTTAAGAAGTGGAAGAAACAAAAGATATTGATTTAAAAAATTGGAAGATTAAAATTTTAATGGATACAATAATTGATATCTTATTTCTCTTATCTTATTTCAAAGCAAATAATTTTGATTTTATATAGATATTCAAAAGCAAAGAATAGATTTAGATATTAATACAGGTTTGAAGTATATTATGTTTTTGATTAGGATATTATGATAAAAAATAAAATATCGAATTAATAATAATTGATATTTTTTTTATAATGAAATAAAATTCAATTGACTGATTCTAACAAATACTAAGAATAAAAAAATTAAAGAAAGAAAATTTAAAAAACTACAAAAATTTAAAAAAATTAAAACTTGAAACTAATTATGGATCTAATTCTTTGATATTATTAGATCTATTGTAATATAACACGAAATTGATATATTTAATTATAGAATAAATTTTGATTATATTGTTGTAGTTGACATTTTTATGATTAAAATTTATTCATTAACAATTTAATAATTTATCTCTTTGGAAAGTTATATTCTCATTCTCATATTACCATTCTAATTTCTATGTATCCAATTTTATTTTAATTTAGAAAAATAAATTCATATGTTTACAATATTTATATTTATGTATCATATCTCATATGATATTATTTTATTATTTTATTTATAATTATTTTAATATTTCTTAAATTAAAAAATAAAAGAAAGATATCTCATATTCTTATCTTTTTTTCTATTATATATATTTTTTCATTTATTAATTTCTTCACAAAGAATCAAGCTGAGATTAATTTAACATTAACTCGCTCAATTCTTTTCCAATTTTCACAGTGCTGGACAAAATATAATAAGGATTTAAATATAATTGAATTATGATAATTTAATTATATATATTTAATTACGTTAATTTGATTATCATTTGCATACAATTAAATTATCATATACAATTAAAAGAAAAAAAATATATATTTCACACGTCCTATATATCATAAGTCCTTTAAAATAAATATTTTCTTTAAGATATGTATATGGTATTCGATGAATTAATCTTGATCGATCGAACAAAGCGGATTAAAAATAAACATATAGTCTTTCATTTATCCACAATATTGATATTGATTTCGTGATTCAAGTCACGAAACATGAAAAAATCAAGAAGAATGAATAAAGAATATCAATTATCGTTCGAAATTATTACATAGATAGTAACGTTGTATATATAATTTTCTAAAAAAAAATCTATGGAAACGAAAAAAAAAAAAATTGGAAAATCTCATTATGAATGCGAAAATCTCGTATTATTATGCGTTATTTCTTATTATAAAGAAATCGCTAAAAATATCACACGAAGAAACAGGAATTTTAATCAACTTGAAGAATCTACGTTGTTATTCTACAACATATATTGAACATAACTAAAACTAAACATTGACTTCTAATGTATAAGAGAAATATAAGATATATTTGTTCGTTATTATATTTCCTGGAAAAATAAATATAATTTTCCAATGCTGAAAATGGATCGAATTATCATTAACACATTTAGCGATTTGAGAAAAAAAGTTTACGTTGTTGAAGAAACGGGTGATAATGGATATCATAACAAAATTGTAAACGAATTAATAAAGAAACGAGTTTGTATCAAAAATAACAAACGTCGAAAAATCAGTTCAACGATTTTTTATTTCTAAAAATGTGACAATTTTGGAATAATCTTGATCGATTATTATAAAGATCTTGATCTTTCAAGAAGCATATTTTTATAAAAAATTAAAAGATCTTGTTGTTGAAAATTTTATTTATTGAAACGAATATAAAATGACATGATACAATTTCAAAATGTTTATTAGGCGAGGGAAAAATGACTTTATTGTATATTATATATCTAATAAAATATTATTCTAAAATAATTCCAATTCATTATCCCATAAATCCGCTTATATTCAGATATTTTTAATTTTTAACTTTCTTAACTTTCTTTTTGTATAAATATTTAGTATATTTAGTATATATATAATATATTTAATATATTGTATAAAGATTTAGTATACAATATAAAATATAAAGTTTAAAGGATATATCCAATATATAGCTTATTAATATATTTATGAATTGAACATTAAAATTGATTTTCAATTTTGAAACCAAGACGAACAAAACTTGATATACAAACATATCAGATTTATTTAATTAAATTAATAATAAGCAATTTAACCCCCTTAAATGGAACGAAATAAGAATTTTGTAACGAAGATGTCTTACCTCATTCCCACCTTACTTCGTCTAAAATTTAAATCGTTATAAAATAAATAAACCGTGATCGAAATTTTTCTATTCTTCCAAATTTCATATCTGTTTCAACCCCTAGAATCGATCTTCCAAAAAAAAAAAATATATATTAACACCCTTTACTACAATATTATTAAACATATATATATTCTTCCTTCAATTACACGAAATATATCAGATATATTTAAATATTCTCACGTAACACACACGATAAGTCACGATTCACTAAAGATTTATGGAAAATTTTTACACGAATACCGGCGAAGCTGGCAATTTCCTTCTGGTTGCCGATATCGTATGGTTTCGGTGTGTAGACGACCTAAGAAAGAAGAGGTCTCGCGGTACCACCCTTGCCCTTGATTGTAGGCGCGAGACCGCTTGTCTGAGGGTTGTGTCGGAGCTCGCAGACAGGG